TAGAGATTCTGAAAGGCGAATCAGAGGAGAAGGAGGGAGGAGGGAGGAGGGAGGAGGGAGGAGGGAGGAGGGAGGAGGGAGGAGGGAGGAGGGAGGAGGGAGGAGGGAGGAGGGAGGACGAGTAGTTGTTTGTGCCTTTTCGATGATGATGCTGACGAAAGGCTTCGGCAGCACATGAGAGAGTTCTGTCTCCTCCTCGCGCATAAACGTCTTGAGTGAGAGCTCGACGCGGTACCGCAGGGTGTCATGCTTGAGCTTGATCGCGAAGAAGTTGCCGATGAAGCCAGCGAGTGCGATGGCGTAGGGGAGAGCCTGCTGAGCGCGTGAGTGACAGCAGGAGGAGGGAAGGAAGGAAACGAGAAGCAGAGAAGAGGGGAAGGAAGCGGAGGAACGAGGACCTTAGACGTCTCCCAGTACACGCCGATGATGATCCAGAGGAGGACGAGGAGGAAGAGCGCAGAGGAGGCGATGGAGGCAGCGAGGAGTGCGATGTAGAAGCACTTGCGGAGGAACATCTTGACGGAGCTCCTGGTGAACTTGAGGAAATGACCTGTGCATTCGACGGCAGAGATGGCGAAGTAGGCGAGGAGGAGGTAGGAGACGAGGGAAGAGAGCGTCTCCTTCTGCAGCAGACACTCTTGCTTGTCGTGTCTCAGCCGACATTGTTCGCTCAGGTAGGACTCCCTCCACTTCTCCGACAAGATCCACAAGGGGATGATGGGGAGGCAGAGGACGAGAGCGACCTGAAGGAAGTGAGAGGCGCGCGCGAAGGAGGAGGCCTGGACGCCGTCGAAGCCAAGGAAGAACTCGACAAGGAAGACGAAGCCTGTGTATCCCTCCACCTCCTCCAGGAGCTTCTGGTCGAAGATGATCTTCCGCATCCCCTCCCCCTCGTCCAACTTCATGCGCATCAGGTCGGACAGGCACGAGAAGATTTGCGTCTCCAGCACCAGCGCCTCTCTGATCTGCCTGATCCCCCCCCGCACGTGCCGCATAACAACGACGCAGGCGATGGTGGCGGAGAGGAGGGAGACGGCGAGGGAGAAGTAGACGCCCGCCCAGAAGGCGAAGAGCTTGTTGAGGTCGATGGCGATGACGGTCATCGCGTTGGTCACCGGGTCCTTGACGAACACCCGCGGGGTCGTCCCGTTCAGCTGGTAGACCAGCAGGCTCCCGCTAGGGATGCGGCGCAGGGGCAGGTAGGCTGGAAAGTTCTGGAGGACGTCGAGCAGGACCTGGCGGATCTGGACGAGGCGCTGGCTGAAGAGCGCGTCGCTGCTTGCAGAGAGGAAGGCAGGGCAGAACCCGGGCTTGAGCAAGGTGGGGACACTGTTGCGGACGGGCTTGAGGATACCGAGGGAGAGGGTGTCGAGGATGTAGGGGGGGAGGGAGATGTACATGAGCTTGGGGATCCATATGAGCGACGAGACCTCCGGGTCGAGGGTCCCCGGGCCCTCCAGCACGAACTCGACGATCTTCTCGCGGGGTTTGGAAGCGCCGGAGGGATGAAAATTCTTGTCGATGACCTCCTTGTCTCCCGCCGCCACCTCGATCGCGATGTCCACCAGCTCACGCGCGGGGCTGCCCTTGTAGGAGCTCACGCGGTAGAGGTCGGGAGACGCGAGGGAGGACACGGAGATCTGGCCGGTCAGGGAGTAGAGGGACCACTGCTGCTCCAGCCCCCCGGGCGTCCACGGCATCGTGACCGGGTTGATGGAGGCGCCGTCGCGGGGCTGGTTGGGGGTGGGGAAGAGATCGGCGAGACTGTAGCCCGAGCAGATGGTGCGGCAGCAGCGGCCAAGGAGATCGCACGTGCCTGCGACCCCGCAGATGCCGTTGATGCAGAGCTTGGCAGGAGCAAGCATGTCGCAGTATGGGCGACACAGACACTGCTCCGTCTCACTCTGCTTGCATAGCGTCATGTCTGTGCAGTCCGGTACATACAAGACGTCCTTCTTCAGCGTAACCTGAAACGATTGTCAGGCAATCTCCTCCTCCTCCTCCTCCTCCTCCTCCTCCTCCTCCTCCCCGGCTCCTCGTCCTCTTGCTGCTTCTCCTGCTACTGGTTCCTTCCTCTCCGCTCTTCAAATGCATGTTCCTTTCTCGCCCCCCCGCTGCTCCTCCTGCTCACCCCGTCTGGACAAAGCTCCGCGGGGCCCCTAGGCCTCGGGACTGTGTAGTTGAGGGAGGAAGTTTGCAAGAGGCGACGACCAGGAGGGAGAGGAGAAAAGTCATCCTGCGATAAAGGGTTCGAAAAAAGAAAACTACAAGGTGGGGGGAGGAGGAGGAGGAGGGAAAAGAAGAAAAAATATATCGGAGGGGGTGCGAAAAATAGAGTA